TCTTTCAGTTTATTTTGATCATAAACTAAAAATTCCATTACCACCAGATTCTTATGTAAAATTTGATGAATTCACTGCCGGTATACGTTTTTAAATCAAAAAAAAGATCTCTTGGTCTTATGCTTATGTTTATTTAATTTTCAACTCAGGATTTATTTATTTATCATTCTATTTTAGTAATAATTATTTGAGAAGTTGTTTTTGTACTCAGAAAACTTTGCTTTTAAACATTCTTTTTTTTAAATTCTAGTATTTGTTAGGTGTAGTGGGATTTTGTTTATTTGAAGAATACACCTCATTCCTTTTGTGTCTTTCAATCATCTCTTTTTCTCATATTTTCAAAATTCAAATTATAGTGCATGATTTTCAAGGGTAATTAAGTAGTGAGTGATCAGCAAAATGTTAAATGATGCGTGCATTTCTGGAAGCTAGCAAACTAGGCTACAACAGTGTTGTATTCCTTGGCAGAGTGTTGGTTTCCTATGCGAGCTGTCGTTGTCTATGTTCTGTAATGGAAGGGTAGTCAAATCGAGTTCACATTCTAAAATAAAAATCAACGGAAAGATTCCAAACTAGACTTGTAGAAATGGTTTGCAGAGATTTGACTGGTTACAGGCTTGATCATGAGCTGACATCAGTTAGGGAGCCACTGGAAAACCAGGGATTACTAGACGGTTGTTTCTACCGCCGGGATTCGAACCCAGGACCTCCTGATTACAAGGCGAGCTTGTATACTGTTCAGCTACTGGGACCCCCCTCCAATCGCCCACGAATCTTAGCTTCCGCTAAGTCATGATGTATAGCGCACCACCAACCATTATCATCGTCGGGTAACTGTTCTCTCACCCGACTCAGTAGTTGCCGCTGTTTATGGTTTCTTACTAGAACTCCAAGTAACTCCCTCTATATAGCCAGTCACCCGTGAGCATCAGATTAATTTTCAAGTAGTAGTTTGCAAAGATGTGATTGGTTACCGGTTTGATCACGAGCTGTACTCCTTGATTTTTCCAGTGGTTCTCTAACTGATATCAGCTCGTGATCGAATCTGGAACTTATGGAATTGAAAAAATTCAGTAACCAGATAAGAAGAGTTACACAAAATTTATAATGGAAATTCCATTCATTGTAATAGTCCTACTGATTCCCCCAAATAAATAACGGATCATTAATGAAGTGAGGCTATATTTAATAATTGTCATGCTATTCCTTCAATTACAAACATCCAGAAAGACATCATAAAAAGCAGAGAGGAAAATCGATATTTTTAAAGACAAAGGTCAAAAGTGAATCAGTTCAAAGATCACTTCAATAAATCAACTCAGGGATGCAGAAGATGCAAAAACATTCAAAACCGCTTAAGCTTAGTATAAAATAATAGACCGATCAGAATAAAGCAAACCTGATTAAACATTATCATGCCGTTCGGTGCATGACAAGTAAGCATTTTTAAAAAGTTTGGTACTCAGTTTCTTAAGAAGAATGATGAATAAGATGCCTAGATTAAAATGAAAAACCAGTAGGATTCAGAGAGCAGGAAGACCTTCTGATTAGTGTGTCAGTTATATGGAACATAGAAAGGATAAAAATAAGGTTGTTTTCACCAAGTGTGTATTAATGCGACGCATAACAATTCACCAGTTTCAGTATATGATTCAGATATCTTCAATTTAGTGCAGAATTCATTATGATTAACTAGAGTTTTGGAAAGAATGATTCATTAATTTTCAAAGTTTGTATTTCTCAATTAATAAAAATAATAGAATAAGATTATTTATCGTCATCTAATGCATAAACCTTCAAGTTATTAAATAAATTTTGTTTGAATATCAAAAAAATTTGTTTGTTTAACTTACTTTGAATCTTCCCTTTGATTGATTTTATCGGGCCAAAATGCTCGGTCTCTGTTCACTTGTCGGCTGATAGTAGGGACGTTTCAACTACGCCTTGAGATTAACATCACATTACTTGGTTGATGGTGCCTGGCAGTGGAATCTAGGATACGCATTGGTCCCAACCTGTGACTCGTCACTTAGATGTACTTCCTTTCTCAGTGAGTGCTGATGTTGCAGGTGGAATCGGAAACCATTATTCATCGTCTCAAAGGTCAAAGTGCTATCCCCTAGGGGACTGGACAATGAGAATCACATACCTGTTGTACAGTGGGTATCAGTTTTTGTTTATTTAAGTTTCTTTGGATCAAGTAACATCCTATAGATCTGTAGTTTGTTTATGAGGTGCTAAAAAGATCTGTTTGGTTTTAATACAATAGGGAATCACCAAGATGACGGTTTTTGAGAAATGGGAAATGTCAAGTGCTGACTTATAGGGATTTGTTAAATGCCTAAAGAAGCGAATTGTTTATTGTCACACTAATAA